TATTGCTGCTGTGCTATTGAATGGACTGCTCCACAAAAAGATAATAATGTTTGTATGTCAACCAGAGCGCAGGAAGTAAAATATATTGTGTGGTTTAACATGACTAGCTTCACTAGATGATAAGCGAAATCTGAACGTGACCGTGTAGGCGCTTGGATATCAACAGTTCGATACCACGCTCACTGAAACAAAATTTTTTTTTGGTTTTTATAAATATTGATTGTAAGTTCAACAATTTTTCATTGAGTATTCATGTAAATTTGATTTGAAATATCTAGAAAACATTGTATTTCAGCCAATTATAACCACCTGGTGGCTAAGTGGTAAGGCACTTGGCTTCCGAATCGATGGGTCCGCTTTCAAATCGCAGTGAAGTATTGGATTTTTATTTATAAGATTTTAAAGGCGCCCAAGACTCTGACCGACTCAAATCACTACCTGACATTAGTTAGGAAAAGTGCTGGCCACATGACACCCTTGTTGTCTGTTGGCCATACATAAAGATACCCTGTAGATAGCAAGGTCAAAAAAAAAAAAAGAAATAACAGCAGAGTATTCCATTCTTTTCTGCCATCTGCCAGATCTGCCACATAGCTTGTATAACATGGCATCGCAGCTTCTAAAGGTGGGCAACTAGCTAGCAGTAATCAAGGAGATTGGATACAAAAAAAAGTTAATACCACGCAATGAGATGTTGTTACAAGGAAAACTAAATACCACGCAATGAGATGTTGTTACAAGGAAAGCTAAATACCACGCAATGAGATGTTGTTACAAGGAAAACTAAATACCACGCAATGAGATGTTGTTACAAGGAAAACTAAATACCACGCAATGAGATGTTGTTACAAGGAAAACTAAATACCACGCAATAAGATGTTGTTACAAGGAAAACTAAATGCCACGCAATGAGACGTTGTTATAAGGAAAACTAAATACCACGCAATGAGATGTTGTTACAAGGAAAACTAAATACCACGCAATGAGATGTTGTAACTAGGAAAACTAAATACCACGCAATGAGATGTTGCTACGAGAAAAACGTAAAAAATACTTTAAAAAAGAAAAGCTTATACGAAGCAGTGCAAGTAGTTTGGGCCAGTCTTGAAATTAAATTTATAGTAGAATCTAGACCAACACCAATAAATGTGTGCGATTAGAAATATTTTTGCTAATTGTTTTTGTCTAGCGCTATCTCATACTTTTAGCTTTCTCAATGCGATCTGATCGTATCACTTATCTGGAAAAAAAAAAGGGGGGGGGGGGGAGGGGAGAATGAAAGGGATAGCTGGGTGAATTTTTTACTGTATTTGCTTTTAACAACATTTATTTAAAAAAAAAGGAGGGGGGGCGACTTGAAATCGAACTCATGGCTCAAGCCTTCTTAAGCCGACACACAGACCACCTTGCTATTGTGGTGCCTATGAAAATAGAAGATTGTAAAGTTATCTATTGTTTATTACAAACCTACTATAAAGCAGTGACCTATAAGGGAGACTACTTCAGCTTATACCACTACTTCAGTGAAGTACTATTTCGTTCCCTTGCTCGATATTCCCAAGAATATAAATAATTACCAAGAGGTTATTAAAAAATTGGTTAATTTTTTAAAATTTGATTCCTTTGTTATTTGTTAAAAGAAATGATTCCAAATTTTCATCTTAATCCAAAATTGGGAGTCGGAGAAACAAGGTTTACAAACTTTTTTACCAGACAGAGTGACTATGGGCTTTGTAACACAATTATTGCTCAATTCTTTTAATAAATTCAATTACAGTTCAATTAAGCGTACTTAACATTGTTTGATCATTTTGAGAGGCCACCCAATAGCATGTCGTCCACTCTATGTGGAGCATGTGTGCTATACAATGTGTATATACGTATATATATATAAATGATGACTAAAATCTAGGTCAATCTAACTTTGCATAAAGAAATAAACTTATTTTGAGCCCACTGTTCTTTCCCTTATATTTAGAGTTAGAATTTAATTTCTAAGAGTTAATGAAGATTTAGTCTCCTTAAAGCACATCATTTCTCTTCCTTTAAATCCAGTACTGTAAAGAATTGGGCCTGCGATAAATGCTAAGAAAAATGTTTCAAAGAACATTATAATAAAGTAGCCTTTAACAATAGTGCAGAACACAGACACTAAACAGATAGCGATGACATTAGCCTTGCGTCTGTACAGGTATTTGACCTTAATCAGGAAGTGTTGTGATATTATCGCAATTTGTGTCATGTGAAAAAATATAACTTATCAATGACTATGCTTGCTTTTAGGCTTCTTTTAAAAGCATATAAACTAATAGGGGATACCAGCGAAGGATTAATAATGCTTTCTTAAAAACAAGGCTTTTACTAGAGTGAGAACTGCACAATTACTGCCTTATCTCTGAATATTGCAAGATTTATATACAGTTTCTATAGCTACTTTAGTAGTTAATGTTTTTAACTAGTTCATGTGTTTTCATCGACAATAAATAATTGTGCAAAGTTTAAACTTGATCAGAGAATGGGAAATTTGAGAAATAGCAAGTATAATATTATTACCAAACAGACTTTGTAAGAAAAAACATTTCTTTGAAAACTTAGAAAACCTACTATATATAAGTGGAAGTACCACTAATCTATCACGAGATCCCCTAAAACCATCATCGTATATGTATCAAATTTCGTACACAGGTTCCTTTTACCTCCTAGGACGCTTTCTGACAGATACGCAACCTGACCGCTGCAATTCGCGAACAAACGCAAATCCCTATCAAACCTTTGTATTTTATTTTCCGTTCTTCCTCAAAAGGAAAGTATAAATTGAAATATGTCACTAATTCCATAATGGTGCCTTGTAACACTGTCAACAAAAATAATAATAATAAAAACAACATCTAATTCTAATAGCGTTAAAAAGATAAAATCTAAATCCAATGTCATTTCGCTACATAAAAATTAGATCAAATAAACGATTACAATTAATAAACCTGAATTGAAAAAGAGAGAGAGAGAGAGGGAGAGAGGGAGGGAGAGAGAAAGAGAGAGAGAATAGGGAGGGAGGGAGGGAGGGAGAGAGCGAGAGAGAGAGTGGAGGGATAGAGAAAGAGAGAGAGAATAGGGAGGGAGGGAGAGAGCGAGAGAGAGTGGAGGGAGAGAGAAAGAGAGAGAGAATAGGGAGGGAGGGAGAGGGAGGGAGGGAGGGAGAGAGCGAGAGAATGAGAGAGAGAGTGGAGGGAGGGTGGGAGGGAGGGAGGGAGAGAGCGAGAGAGAGTGGAGGGAGAGAGAAAGAGAGAGAGAATAGGGAGGGAGGGAGAGGGAGGGAGGGAGGGAGAGAGCGAGAGAATGAGAGAGAGAGTGGAGGGAGGGTGGGAGGGAGGGAGGGGAAAGAGAGGGAGGGAGGGACGGAGGGAGAGAGAGAGAAACTGGGGGTTTACGATTATTTCTCTGTTTACTGTCCAACTATTATTTCATCTGTGCTTCTAATTTATTTATTTATTCTATATTTATATCTCTACTTTCAAATTAAATGAAGAATGTAATGCATAGGTTTAGTCCTACTAGCTGTTTGGAGGGACAAATCAACGACCGAGTATAAAAACCTTACAATATACTAATTATATATATATATATATATATTGAAATTGAAAAAGACGTAATCTTTCTCTTAATAACAATAACTGTTAGAGTAGTTTTTATTTAAACGTGACGGACAGACCAACCGACCGACCGAAACAAAAAATAAATAAAATCTGATTTGTTTCTAACATTTTTAGAGAACTGATAGCACCAATGTCTTCCAGATGCTTGTCACGCTACTGTACGAAAGTCGCAACATAAAAAGTCCATTTTAAAAAAAGTGCGTGTACTTAAAACTATAGAGATGTTTCGGAAGGAACATTAAAGGTTATATCAGATTTTCAATTGCTTTTTATTTTATTTCTTTAAAATCTAAACTTGACGGACAGACCGACCAACAGACAAAACGCACAAAACTACGCGGCTTTTATCCTGATGGGGTACTAAATAAAGAATAAATAAAATCTGATTATTTGAATATTTTTAAGGAATGAGTACCACAGACGAGGATACTGTGGCGTTACGCCACTGCACGAAAGTCGTTGCGTGAAAGTCCTTTTAAAAAAATGTGCGTGATATTTATATACAAAGTGCATTCTTAGCCTTTATAAACAAACAGAAATGTTTTATTTTAATTTTAGCAGTTATTTGACCAGAAAACAACACCTTTAACTAATATTTATATTTGTTGTGAACATTTCTTGTACACTCTATTAATATACTTAATTAGTGATACTGAAAATACACAACAGTACATTCTACGTTATTAACATATTGTAACATTGCCTCCCTTCCATTTACGTAATTGTTTTAGAATAGGTGTTTTTTTAAAGAAAAAATAGATTGCATAATTAATTTTATAAATTAAACGGTTTGCTTTTAGAAAACTCAAAGTAGCCATTGCACTTAAACTTTTTAAGCCGCATCGCATGGTGATTTTTTCTAGTTTTTGAGATTTGAGTGTGACAAACGGACATTTTTGCACAAACCTTATAGCGGCTTTTCCCCTTAATGGGACCGTTAATAAAAGTTTGATTATCATGTTTTAAACTGTATGCTTTTAAGCGTCGTTGTAAACAGAGGAATTTTTTTTTCACGACTTAAAATAATAGACATATGTTGAAACTTAGTTAGATTATAATGTCTTTAAATCTTTTGCAAGTTCCTAATTCATTTCACTATTTCATTGACTAACCCGGAAAGTGTATTTTTTCCTACCGTTTTGCTATTCCATTGATTAGAAAAAAAATTAGCATATAAACTATTCTTTTTTTTTTCTTTAATTTTCAACAAATAAATTCAATTTTGTTTATTTAAAAAAAAAACACATCATACCATGAATTTGCATGCAAACAATCAAAACCTGTTCTTTGATATTGATTTGCTATTATGGTCAGTGAGACTCTTATTTACAGAACAAAGTGACAATGTCGGCAGTTATAAAGAGAAGTGTAATATTTTTATTTTTGTATTTTAAAGCAAAGTATTTGGTAAGACAAAAATGTACATACAATATAAATGCACATATAATTCATAACTTAATTTTAAACAATGTCTTGGAAAAAAAATGTACACATTAATGCCTTTAAAAAAAGTTCTGAGTAAATGTAAACAAAAATAACAGCAATTTTGTTTTGACCTTTTTTAAAGATTATAATGCGCACATAAATGATTAATTTTATAAATATATAGTCCATATCAAGTGCGTAGCAGAGAAAAGTATTGTAACCAAAGATTGTTTGATATTCTGTAGATCTGGAGAAATGTACATACAGATGATAGCAGTGAATAGCAGCCCATAGAATGTCCAAAGAAAGTCGACGTTTGAACAGTGAATCATATCCGTTTGACTGACTCGCTGCTCCTTGAGCCATTGCCCAGCAGTCACTGTTATGTCAATGTTGGTGGAGGCCTTGCCCCAAGAATAAGTCCTTTGTATTTCTACAATGTAATGCCATTACAGTCTGTTACATTGCAGAGAGTGTTTAAAACGAAATGATACCTTTAAATATATATATACAATTTTTGATATTATGATATTTTTTATAGAGTAGGATATGTATTCTCAATGGTTCCCAAACGTTTGGGTTAGTGGACGATGGCTAAGCACAAACAAAAATAGTTGTTTTTCTTTTCAGAGGACTGACTTTTGTGAAAATAGACTGTCATTAACAAATCCAAAGAATTGTGTCATAGGTAATTAAAGGCCCACAATCCTATCTGCACTCAAAGTATGTCTAGCCTGATAGTGAATGGTAAATTAGACTTATGCTTATTGTAATTCTACATGTAGTTAGGATGGTAAACTGTTCGTAATCTCGAGTAAGTATGTTTCTAGGACTAAACGAAATAAAAACATAAAGTTAGGTTTTAGTCCAGTTGTTTCCCTTTGTCTTTAAAATACAAGTGATTGTTCTTTTTTCAGTTCTGTTGTTTCCCTTGGGTGCCTACAGAATAGTGAGTTATGATGCTTCTGGTTGGATAACATTAACCGCTTGGCTAGCTAGCTAGAAAATAACAGTTGGAAAACTTTACTCGAGTTGTGTGTAGCTTGCCGAATGCCCACTGAAAGCATGGAAACCTTCTTACAGATACACCCCATAAGTCCACAATAGTGTTTAGATAAAAATAAACATCTGAAAGTAGCACGGAGACTCGCTTTGTAGTGAAAAAATAACATAGTTTGTAAATCACTTAGCATACAGGGCCCTTAATGGACCGACGCTCACATGAAGCACGTGTACGGATATAGCATAATACTATTAATATTAATACATTATAACGTTAAGTGTGTTGGAAATGTATTACACGGTAAACGATTTTAAATACCGGTAAGTAAAGTAACCCTTTCAAAGTAATGCGATCTATGGAGCAGATGATGTAAAGGTCATCTGTTTATGTGGCCTACGCTTAACGAGGATGCCATGTGACCAGCACAACGACCAACGGCGTTAATTTTTTTCCCCAAGTAGTATCCATTATAGCTATGCTGACTCAAAGGCGCCCTTTAACCCGAAATTTTAAAAAATCACAGTCTTCACCAGGATTTGAACCTAGGACACCTCATTTCGGAAGCCAAGCGCATTACCACTCAGACATCGCTCCTCCTAAAAGTTTTAAAAAAATTGTACTAATAGGGCGAGTCACAGCTCAGTGCTTCGTGTGTAAATGTTATAAGATAATATTTTTAAAATAGTTAGTGTGTTACGTGCCTTAATGCGATTCCATGCGTCTACGTATGCTCACCTGGAATTGGGTCAAATGCCCTAATGCCCAGCCCCACCCTCCCTCTTGTTTCATATCAACTGCTGTGTCGTTATAACCCTTAGTGCGGCAGTGGGGCTAGGATGGAAACAAAAGAATGTTATTTTCGTTCAAAGTATTTACTAATGTCTTGAGTATCTCATTTTATTGACATCTAGATCTATATAAAAGTTTGAACAGCGTCAATAACAGTCTTGAATTCCAGAAAAACTAAAATATATCGTGGGAAATTTTTTTACTGCACGTCCACCCATTAAAGTCACAGCGTGTACACAAGCGATTATTATAACCTTGTCGTGCACACGGCCATCCAAGCTAGTGCAGAAGGTGCGCACTGTTAGAGACTAGACTGGGAAGGATGTCGACATTAGCCAGAAGTCTAGATCTTCGGAAGAGACTGCTCAAGGCAGACGTCGTTCTATGTATTGGTGATGTCCTCATATAAATAAACATCGTTGAGTCGTCTCCTTTTAGTTATTACACTATTTTGATCCAGCTTCATTGATTCAGAGTAGTCCACAGCAGTCTCCGTCTCTATTATATTAATACAAAGGCGTCTCTATTTCGTTCCAGAGGCGTCTCTATCGCATCGAAACACATTTCGATTTTTCAAATGTCGACAAGTACATAGTTTAATAGATACGCTGAGAAGCAGTTTTTATACTCGTATCGCCATGTCGACTATCTACTCAAAGCTTCGTTTGTTGCTCTATATCCGATGTGTTTCCAGTATCGCTGAGTACTATGACATTATTATCATGATAACCATTTAGTTTACTAGTGTCTTGTTTTTTATCATCTTGTGTATGGTTTGAGTTTTGGTCAACGATCGTGTTGTCTTTACTACAATCTAGAGAAATTATTTCTGTTGTCCCTCTCTCAGATTTTGAAAGTTTTTTCGTTGATTTTCGTTTCACGTAAGGAAAACTGTGCCTTACGTTTAAATTGTCTTTTTTAATCTCGTCTGCTCGACTCACAGAGTCACGTGATTTGAGTTTGATTTGTTCAAAATTATTTCCGTTCTGAGGGTTAGGGTTTGGGTTGCCGTTTTTAAATTTGTAACTGTTTATCCGAATGGGGATGTGATCTTCGTTTTGATTCGTGTCGCCGTAGTAGACAGGGGCGAATCCCGGGTGGTGGTGGTGCTCGTCCCGGCGGTGCCCGTAAAGGCTCTGGTGCTTGAAGCTGCTGGATTTGGTGGAGTTGACGGAGTAGCGCCTGGGGACGCTGATGCTGTGATCCTGCTTCATCTTCCTCCGCCACAGCAGCATGATGAAGATCAAGGCCGTCAACGCGATGAGACCAACGGTGATACCTATGATGACTGGAACGGTCAAATGGTACTCGGAAATCGGTACCTCCGTGGTGGTCTCCAGTGTTGTTGTGGTCGTTGTCGTAGTGGTAGTTGTTGTGGTCTCTGTTGTGGTTGTCAATGGGGTGGTTGTCGTAAAGGTGGTTGTTTCGGTAGTGGTGGTGGACGTTTCTTCTATCGTATTCCACATCTCTGTTGCATTCGTGGTATCAAAAGTAGTTTCCGTAGTAGTATTCCAGTCAGCGGAAGATTCAAAGGGAAATAATTCAGTAGAGCTAATTGTTTCGAATGAATTGGTTACATTATCGGACATTATTTCATGGGTTCTTTCCCATTCTTGAAGAGTCGAGTTTATTAGCGATAATTCTTCCGTCAGCATCCCGTTAATAGTTTCTACAGTATATGTCGGGAAAACGGTAGTCCCGTTAATAGTTTCTACAGTATATGTCGGGAAAACGGTAGTCCCATTAATAGTTTCCAACGACTCCAATGTCATAAAGTCAGAGGGTTGCTCCGTCGATGCTGATGACTCAATAAAAAATAATGCAGCTGAGCCCGTTGCAGATTCCATTGTTGCTTTTGTGGAGAAATTGCTAAGGGAGAAAGGACTAGAATTTGTTGACCTGGTGCTTAATGGTGATGTCACTTCAGGGCTTGCTTGCAGTGTTGATGGTAAATTAGTCGAAGACGTTTTGGAGACATCTGAAGAATGTTCATATGATGTTATCGATGCATTTATAGACACAGATGTAAACTGAATAACAGGACTATTTAAATCAGCGGACGAGACTAGCGTGTTAATGTCAGAATTAGGTTCTGAGGCCAACGAACTATTTATTAAAGTCATTGACGTGTCTAAGTAACTCGGTGTATGAAGTGAGTCAAGCGGAGATAAATAAGACGTTTCTAGAGTCGTCTGCACTGAAGATGGAGTAATCTGAAGTTCTAATAGTGCCGAAGACGGGGAGACAAACGCTTGATCCGTTATGTCCACATTTGTCGCTAGCGTAGTTGCTAAAGATGATGTAGATGTCATCCTTGTTTCGTAGGGTGTTGTCAAATTCAGCAATACGCTAGATATCGACATGATTTAACTCCCTTGTGTGTATTTATATATCTAGAAATGTCTAATCATTGATTTGTGTGCGTCCTCGGATAGTTTCCCCTTGTTGACGAGCTCAAGATGAAAATAAAATCTTTCTAGATTTTGGTATTTCGTAAGACCAATTTCTGACTTACGATGAGCTTCAAACCTAGAAAAGGATAAAAAAAGAAGTATTTATTTTAAAAATTGGCTCTATAAACTTTTGAGGGCAACAGTATATAACGTAAAATTTCCTTTCATACCTTGCGATTTCTAGGGTAGATAGTAAAGTAAAGTTTCCCTTTCAGACCTTGTGGTCTATAGGGCAGATGATGTAAAGGTCATGTTTCTGTGGCCTACGGTTAACAAGGGTGTAATGTGGCCAGCACAACGACCAATCGCCTTTACTTTTCCCTAACTAATGTCAGGTACCCATTAGAGCTGGGTGCAGAAGGTGTTTATCCCGAAATAAAAAAACCAGGATTCGAACCCAGGTCCCCGGTTCGGAAGTCAAGCGCTTTACCGCTCAGCCACCGCGCCTCCTTTATAGGGCAGATAGGTAAAGGTCATCTGTTTCTGTGGTCCACTGTTAACGAGGGTGTCATGGGGCCAGCACAATGACCAACTGCCATTACTTTCCCCAATTATTGTCAGGTACCCAATAGAGCTGGTTGGACTCAGAGGCACCCAAAGATCCCGAAATTAAAAATCCCAGTCTTTACCCCCATTTTGAACCCGTGACCCCCGGTTAGGAAGCCAAGCGCTTTACCGCTCAGCTACCGTATATAATCACCATTATAGTAATGTCATGTGAAGCGGTAGGATGATGTTACAATCATGTACATTTTCTATTAAATACACATTCCAATATGTTTGTTATATCTCTTTGCTTTATTCGTCAATAAGACAGCTTCATACAGCGGACTACAATATAAATTGTATATCTAATAATGGATATAATATAATGTCTTTTCAAAGGGGAGCAACTGTGCATTGAAAAACACTTCCAAGAGAGGTCAACAGAAGAGATACAAAGAATTCCCCCAAGAAATGCGGATTTGACACCCATTAAGGGAAAGCTGTCCAACGATTGCCCCGCATTGTGTGTAGGCAGAGACAGAAAGAGAGAGTCAGAGAAAGAGAAAGACAGGGAAAGAGAGAGACAGGGAAAGAGAAAGACAGGGAAAGATAGAGACATGGAAAGAGAGAGAGAGAGGGAAAGAGAGAGACAGGGAAAGAGAGAGACAGAAAGAGAGAGGCAGAGAAAGAGAAAGACTGGGAAAGAGAGAGACAGGGAAAGAGAGAGACAGGGAAAGAGAGAGACAGAGAAAGAGAAAGAGAAAGACAGGGAAAGAGAGAGACAGAGAACGAGAATAACAGAGAAAGAGAAAGACAGAGAAAGAGAAAGACAGAGAAAGAGAAATACAGGGAACGGAGAGACAGAGAAAGAGAAAGAGAGAGAAAATGAGACAGAGAAAGAGAAAGACAGGGAAAGAGAAAGGCAGAATGAGAGAGGCAGAGAAAGAGAAAGACAGGGAACGAGAGAGACAGGGAAAGAGAGAGACAGAGAAAGAGAAAGACAGGGAAAGAGACAGAGAAAGAGAAAGACAGGGAAAGAGAAAGGCAGAAAGAGAGAGGCAGAGAAAGAGAAAGACAGGGAAAGAGAGAGACAGGGAAAGAGAGAGACAGAAAGAGAGAGACAGAAAGAGAGAGACAGAGAAAGAGAAAGACAGGGAAAGAGAGAGACAGAGAAAGAAAAAGACAGGGAAAGAGAGAGGCAGAAAGAGAGAGAGAGGCAGAGAAAGAGAAATACAGGGAAAGAGAGAGACAGAGAAAGAGAAAGACAGAAAGAGAGAGACAGAGAAAGAGAAAGACAGGGAAAGAGAGAGACAGAGAAAGAAAAAGACAGGGAAAGAGAGAGGCAGAAAGAGAGAGAGAGGCAGAGAAAGAGAAATACAGGGAAAGAGAGAGACAGAGAAAGAGAGGGGCAGAAAAAGAGAGAGAGGCAGAGAAAGAGAAATACAGGGAAAGAGAGAGACAGAGAAAGAGAAAGACAGGGAAAGAGAGAGAGGCAGAAAGAGAGAGAGAGGCAGAGAAAGAGAAAGACAGGGAAAGAGAGAGAGACAGGGAAAGAGAAAGACAGGGAAAGAGAGAGA